TATATATACACTGTTATGTTTGGTCACATTTTTAAAGAGTAACTGCAGAGGGACCAAAGAGCCACATGTGGCCCCAGAGCCGCAGGTTGCAGACCCCTGCACTAAACTGATGACAGAATTCATTTGATTTCAGTCTTTCATCACCTGCTATGTTTCATAGAAAAGGCAACGTTTGCAACAGCTGTGGATTTTTATTTCAGGGAAAAATAAAATGAATATAAGATGAGTTATAACGTGATTGCCAAGAAAATAGTTAGCAAGTTATTATAAATAAATATGTACGCATCGTAAATCTATATTTCATTAATCAAAGTGTGCATAATATTAAAACTGTTTTCAGAATATAATGTAAGTATAGAAATAATCATTTTCAGTATTTTTTCTTAAATCAAGCACATTCCAGAAGTCTACCATTGTGCATGTGCAAATGAGCTGACAGTACGGATCATGTTACCGGGAAGGATCAGACAGCCACACCGCCAAACTGGTGCCCTGACCTCTCCTCATTTATCCACACTCCTCTCAAGCTGTTACACTCATTTTATTTCACTCCACGTCGTTCTCTTTTATTTTGAGCAGCTTTGAGGCCCAGAGGCGAAACATGAAACTGTCACTGCGTATGGAACTCAACAGGTTGTTGCTAGCTTACCAAAGGGTGAGCTGATTTCATAAATGATGCTTAGCTGGGTGGTGAGCCTTTCCTCTGCCTACATCCCCCAGAATGCTGCTGTTCTTGGTCAGAGTTCAGTGAAATTAACTTTTTATTGGGCAAATTTTCCATTGATACTGATCACGTGTTTATTGCTACATTGTCATTGAGTTATTACCCAGACCTACTTGGTTGTGTTTTGGGTCAATGCTGTTTTTAAAGACCCACCTGCAGTGTTTTATTTGAGGAAAGAAGGTTCACGTTCAAGGCCGTCCTTGTTTCTGTAAGTGAGCTAATGTCCAATCTAAATGGTTAATCTAAGAATTAATCCTCCGCTGTATGAGATGTGAGAAAACAAGTTATTGATGCCAACAACCACCTCAAGCAAACATTTGACTTTTTTTTTGTTAACATCTGGCATGGAAAATTATTTTAATGTATTGTTTTCTGTTTTTCTCTTTAAGTGACCTTCAAGAAGATGTACAAACAGAAGCAGAAAGAACTGCAGAAACAGTACGACAAACAGGAGAAGAAGCTCAAAGACCTGAAGGCTGGTGGCAAGTCCACCAAACAGGCTGTAAGTATCACCAGCCTCTTAGGACTTAACCACAGTTGTAAAGTAACTAAGTACAAATACTTTGTTACTGTACTTAAATAGAAATTTTGGTTATCTGTACTTTACTTGCATAATTATTTTTCAGCCTACTTTATACTTCTACTATATACATTTTTACACAATTATCTGTACTTTCTACTCCTTTCATTTTTAAACAAGGTAAGAAGTAGAAAGTCGTTACTTTTATTTCATTTCGGCTCATTATTGGTAAAAATATATTATCCTGGTAAATCGTGCCTCCTGGAAAGAGTGAATTTAATTGTAGTTGGATGAGAAGTATAAATATTTACCATTCTGACTCCAAATTGTACACAATCCATCACAGCTGCATGCCTTTAGAAAAAAAATAATTTTTGGAAAGTTCACCTCCCAATAAATGTCATTTTGGAAAATCTAACCGCTCATTTTTACTCAGTACTTTGACTTTTAATACTTAAGTTAAAAAAAATCAGATACTTTAAGACTTTTACTCAAGTAATATTCTTGGAGGCGACTTTAACTTGTACCAAAGTAATTTCATGATAAGATACTTGTACTTTTACTCACGTATTACTTTGAGGTACTTTATACAACACTGGGACTTACACATTCTCATCATTAATGTGCACTAAAGTGAAAAGAATACAGTAATAAAATATTTCAGTTCCTTTTCACAGATTGCAAAATTAATTTATTGCAGCATCACAGTCTGGATAAATACTAGGTATTAAATGGTAAATGTACTGTAAATACTCTGATCATCATACCACATTTATCATGTAGCTCCTGGTATCTCAATAATGTATTGGAATGATGCTTTACTACTGCCACCAAAGTTTATTTCAGTATTTGTAAAATTGATTAATTTAAAGCTGTTTTTGTGCTCTCTAGGGTTAGTTAACTGTGGCAGATATCTTTAATTCTGTTGTAGATTTAAAGGATTATTTTCAGTCTAGTGGTTCACAAGATAATTTGCTTACACATTTATATGACCTAACTTTATTATGAAAAAAAATATGTAACCCATTATCGTATTGCTTTCATTCAAAAACAGAAATACTTCTGAAAATGCATGTTTGTAAAAATAAATGGATTCTAATTGATTATAATTAATGAAACATTATTCTATCAAATGTGTTTAATTGTAATTTTGATGCACAGATGTATTTAAAGAGAAACAGTCACAGTTTAACATTAGCTTCAAATATTTAATGTACTTGTGACTGATTTATTTTTTTTTAATTGTCTACAGCTGTAAATATTTTGAAGTTAAATGTTGAAATCTTAAATTAATTACTAGGATTGAGATTAAATTGAGGACCTGCGTTAACTTTGTGGTCAGCACCGCAGTCTTGTAATCCTGAGGTTGCAGGTTGGAGTCCAGGTTGTGTCAAAGTGCATCTGGCACTGAATAACTGCAAATATGTGTAAATCTTTTTTTACTGTGGCAACCCACAAAGAAGGGGGTTTAAACTGAATTTTTGTACCAAATAAAACAATGGTTCAGAACAGTGAGGTTTCAGTAAGATCTAGAGAAATCAAATATTTTTTAATGATTGCTATTATCCTTAAAGTGTCTGTGACATGCCTATCCTTCAAATACAAAAAGTCAAAACATCTTTATACTTAAGAAAATACACAGGATTTACCCATTTTGCCATGTAACCGCCTATTTTCTTTTAAATTTGGCTCAGCCAAAGTGAAACAGGAAGTGACATCAAAGGGGAGCTAATTAGTAAAATAAACTCACAGGTTTTTGTTAATTAAAACAAAATTATTTAAACTTTAACTCTTCTTCATCTCTCTTTGATAACGGCTAAAAATAATCTAAAGAAACATCAGATTCTTCTCTACAGTCTGTGTTGTTAGCTTTTGTAACGCTCCGTTTACATGCTGACATTCCTCTTTGACATCACTTCCTGTTTCTTCACATGCAAATATCTCAACAACTGTTCATCTCAGTGACGTGAAATTTGTTTTGCAACATGTTATCAATGTTATCTTTCCAAAAATGTATTCATGTTTATTACAAAAATTTGATGTCACAGACACTTTAACTGTAACAAAAAATAAAAGTAATGACTATAATGCATAAAGTTTGACACAACTCTGTTAAATTGCTTAATGACTGTGATTGTGTACTTAGTCAGTATAATCAGTTTCATGAGGTAACATATTTTGTGGGTTGAAAGCAGAAAAGTTTGGGAACTATTGTACTGAAACACCAGACAGCTGTCATGAAACAATGTTTGTTTTTACAGAAAAATTAGAGGCCTAAACAAAAGTTTAGATTATACAATAGTTAAGTTTAGTTAGTAAAGTATATGTACTTATTGTACTGATCATTACTGTTCCATTCTGCTTTGTAAAGTACTGTGTCTACTGTCAGTAGTCTTCATGTCCTACATTGCATAAACCATAAATCGTGTCACTTTAGTTTGCTCCATTCCATCACTGATTCTTCAACATTTGTTTCCCTCGTGTGTCTTCTGTCAGGAAAAGCAGACAAAAGAGGCGCTAACCAGGAAACAACAAAAAGGCAAGAAGAAGGGTCCTCAAGAGGAAGAGAGCCATGAAGCCCCGGAGCTACTGAAGAGACCCAAAGAGTACACCGTCAAGTTCACCTTCCCCAACCCTCCTCCTCTCTCACCACCTATACTGGGACTGCACAGTAAGAACACATAGTTTACTACATGTGCCTGTTGGTCAGTATCTGCTTCCACAGCTTGAAAAACACAAGTTGTAATCAGGTTTCTGTTCACTCATCACTGGCATTAATGTAATTTTAATTTGTTTTTTTAATGATTTAGTTGAACCGTTCTTTTTCTGGGTTGCTGCAACGTTCAATTTCAATCATTTAAAAAAACAAGAATGTGGTACAAGAATAAGATTTTTTTTATATTTTTTTCCAATATAGTCAAAACTATACATACATTCTCAGATCAATGGTGCGTTCACACCGAACACGATTTCAGCATCAGGAGCAGCAGGTTTACATGCAAAGTCTATGGTGGACGCGCTTCATTCAACGTCGGGAAGTGCTGCGGCGCCTCAAGCGTGATTAGAGCAGCGCGATTTGAACGATTTGAATGATCTGAGCGTTCGACGCGCTGAGGCGCAAATCGCTGAAGTTAGAAAATCTGAACTTTTGCAGCTCGACGCGCCGCGTCAACCAATCAGAGAGACTCCACTGTGTGACGTAGTGACATATTTCCCGACGGGACAGTTTACTGAATGATGTCCACCAACCTGAAACAGACGGAGAGGAGCTCTTTAGCTGAAATCGTGCCTGCAGTCAGTGTCCTGATCCGCAGCAATGCGTGGCAGTGACTCATCAGACTGGAAAAATAGTCCTGAAAGCGAGCTGTGAGCCTCTACTCTGAATTATCTGGTGAATTAATTATGAATTAATTATCTGATGAACGTGACATGCTCTTGCTCTCTGTAAATAAAGCAAAGCCACTTCCTCGTCCGACATTAAACAGAGCCCGACAGAGGAGGGAGGGGCGGGGAGGCTCTGCCGTGCGGCGCTTCAACAACTGTCCTGCGTCTGACCTCAAAGTGCACAAGCTTCAAACTTCAGCGTTGGCTGCGATTTTGAAGCTGAAATCGCGTTCGGTGTGAACGCAGCATTATACACACACCTTCACTGCTATTGCACATCAATCATGCTTTTTATTATATTTGTCATCAGGTGTTGACTTTGGCTACGATGGTCAGAAACCTCTTTTCAAAAATGTGGATTTTGGCATTGACATGGATTCCAGGAGTAAGTACAAAACCTCTAAAATACTTGATTTTTATTGCAATAATGGTTTTGCTTGTGTCTGTGTGTCTATCTGTTAGCAAAATATTTCACGAACCTGTGGAGGAAAACTTTCAGGAAATTGTTGGATGTACACTTAGGACTAATAAACCTTTGGACCCAATCTCATTTAAGGCAGCCGCTGAAGCTAACCGATCTCAGAAAACACAAAAATGGCTAAAGATGGTTTACTCCAAGTGCAACTTCTTGCACAAGAACTATGCTTAAAACTTTGGCATTACCTGTAGGAGTTTATCTTTAAAAGAAAAATCTCATTAACAAGTTCAAATATTATAATGAAACTCTCAGAAAGCAATCGGTTCAATTCCGCCTCAGTATCACTTGACATTTCACATAACTTTATTTTTAAGGTTTGAGCAAAGCTCTCAACAATAGAAGAGCTTTGCTCTGCATTCACTCCAGTATCCATCTCTTCAGTGAATCTACACCTTTACATTTATCTGTTTAGAGTTTTTAAAAGTCAGTGATTACATGAAATTAGGGGTTGATTAAACATTGAAGCAACAAAAAAATAACTGTTGATGTTTTGGCAGAATATCATGTGCTAAAATGAGTTTCTTTTCTAAGCTTTCTTCTGTTGTATACTCTGTGTCGTGATGCTCTTTTTATTGTTTCCTCTCTTGTTTTGTTTATTCTTTTAGTTTGTATTGTTGGGCCCAACGGTGTTGGAAAGAGTACTCTGCTGCTGCTGCTGACTGGGAAATTAGTTCCTGTAAGATACAGAATTATTACGTATATGCTCAAACTATATAAACTGCTAAAATAACTGGGACCATGTTTTGTTTTTTGATTTTTTCAGACTAAGGGTGAGATGAGGAAGAATCATCGACTGGTAAGTAACATTTAATAAAAATATACAGTTTAAAGTGACTCATTGCAAACTATGAAGTCAAACATTAAAAGATTATGAGGTATATGAAATGGTGCAATTTGAAAAGGTTTACTGGTAGTGATCAATACCAATACCAGAACTTTATGGTCTAGAAATGATATTAAAATCAAAGTATCAATACTTTGATACTGCAGTCATTTCAGGTAATGTATATCATAGACAGTGGGGGAAAAAACAAAACTATTGAAATCTTGTCTAAATCTTATGCAGTTGGAAGGAACTACTATTTCATTACATTACATAAGCACAGTGTGTAGACGTTACATGTATGGCAGGTCATTTTAACATAAAATCAGCTTCATCTGACGGTCTGTAATTACATTCAAGATGAGGGCCCCCCGAACAGCATTAGCTTCTGTCCAGGGACCCTCTTACAAACCTGCAAACAGTGCTATAAAATATAAGAAGAAGAATCAAACTTTTTATTCACTTTTCAAAATTTATTACATTTATTTAGCAAACAAATTTAAATTATGCTAAACAAATATAATAGGGTTAGAAAGACGAAGAAATAAATGACTGTCTTGCATTCTTTATAAAGCGGTTATTTGAAAAAACACTACTTTTTTAGATTTACCAAACACGTTATGTGTGTTAGCACAAAGTAAAAGTATCAGATCAGTATCACCGATACAACCCAAGTGATCCATACATACAAAGAAATCAAACCATAAATGTCCAGAAATGAAGTTATTTGTAATAATGTGGAATAGCACAGGGAAAAAGTATTGAACACACTTACTGAAATTTATCTAATACTTTGTACAAAAGCCTTTGTTGTCAATGACAGCTTCAAGACGCCTCCTGTATGGAGCAACTATTTCGTGGACCTCTTCTATGAACTCTGATCTTTAGTTCTTTCCATAGATTTTCTGTTGGATTCAGGTCAGGTG